TACTGATATATATATATATATATATATATATATATATATATGCATCTCTCTCCACAGTTCAGCTATTCTTCAGCATTATTCATCCACCACCCTCTTCCTGCTGCACCATATTGCACTATAACATACAATTTAAAATGAAAGGCACTTGAGTGAATGGAGTGGATGTGCATGGGTGTGTCTTAGTATGTGGGTAGTGGTGGGAGAGGGTGGGCAATTGGTGTTTTGAGTGACAGGCTTGACAGAAAGTTACATCTAATGTAAAGTGAGGACGTCCAAAGAACATAAGTAAACACCGTTATATGAATGAAGGCATTTATTGGAGTGTGCTATTAGAGTCACAGTACTTCTCATCAGGTGTTAAACAAAAACAAACACACATATGTACACATTATTAGTTCCCAAACCAACCTGACACTCCCACCTCTCCAGAGGTGTAGTGCTATTTGATGAAGTACCGGAGCACATCTATAGCACAAGCATGTGCATGCACATGGTTAAGTTGTAGCTTGTTTCGAGGGCCATGTAAACAGTTTTCTGGCTCCATGGCGACTGTAATTTTAAACTGACTACACAATGTACTGATTGTTCACTGAGCATGTTGGTTTACATTTCAACCAGCAACAGTATGGGGCTGTGCATGGGGCTCTCAACTAGTCAGCATGTGCCAAAGTTTGGCCATCCTGTGTCCTGCTTGTGTCATATACACCTACAACTGATCACTCACAGGTATACAGGTAAAACAGTCTGTTTAAATTCCAGCATCGCTAAAGTTAAATGTAAAGTCTGTTTTTTACTGCTGTTGGGCACATCTGATGTTTGTCTCCATGGCCCCTCCTGGAATGGACGATCTAGTTTGTTAGTCTGGATGGACTGAGTTTTGGTATGTCACTTGTCTTTTGTAAACAGATTCTGTATACTATTTTGTATCATATGTGATACACTTTAATTATTATTGGATTTGGATCTTCAAGCATTCACAATATTGCAGTGTTATGAATTTCAACCAGATTATGCCAGTAGGCCTATTCTTTTTTCCTCTCTTGAAGAAAAAAAGTGGTGGAGTGTTGTTCCAGTGCATTCAGGCAGCACTACACTTATGCATCTCTTCACTTCACTTCCGCTTTTGTGTATGTGTGTACATTTTTCTTTTGTTTGTTAGTTTTTTGGTTTGCTTTCACAGAGTCTCTGGAGTATGCAGTTGTTTGATGATTAGGAGGGTCTGACATGGGTGGGGAGGGGTTAAATCTCCCCACAGCTTCTGAACAGAATAAGAATTTGATTTTTCAGAGGTGGAGGTTGCATACAGCAAAGAATAAAAAGAAAGAAGTACAGACAGAAAGACAATCATGGTGTAAGCCGGCCATAGTAGAGTGAATCCTAAGCAAAAACTGACAAAATAACACAATGGAAAGCAATGATTGGGGCTGCCTCTCACCTTTAATGTATTTGTGCTTCGGGGTGAAATTCAAAATCGGTGCAGCAGATATAATGGCTGAAATCAAGTAGGGGAGATGACAGACTGAAGCAACAGCTTCCAGGTTGCAGTGAGCTCTGACAAGCCTGTTTGCAGTCAGATCTGTCAGTCAGGGACAAACAAGTGTTCTGACTGACCTGTCAGCTGACTTCCCACTGCCTGCTTTTCCTCCATGTTTTTAGCACATCCGTGTGCAGTCTGTATTTTATCAACCATCATCTGAGACCCAGCTCAGCACTAACATTTGATATTTTAAGTTTATGAATTACTGTATATTGATGAGCATAGATGAGAAATGGGAAATGTGGATGTTGCACCAAAAACAATTGCACAAAGTTTCCACCACCATTCCTAACACTAAAAATTGCACTGTTGTCACAAAAGTAACTGCTGTAATGTGAGAAAGAGCAACACTACTATAAGATAGCCACATGGAGCCCTGAAACCAAGAAAAAAGAGCAATTGTTTGCTAGATGAAAAATACAGTTCAATAGATTAATAAACAGTTCAAGTTAGTTAAACAATTAAAACTATACAGTGGGTACGGAAAGTATTCAGACCCCCTTAAATTTTTCACTCTTTGTTATATTGCAGCCATATGCTAAAATCATTTAAGTTCATTTTTTTCCTCATTAATGTACACACAGCACCCCATATTGACAGAAAAACACAGAATTTGACATTTTTGCAGATTTATTAAAAAAGAAAAACTGAAATATCACATGGTCATAAGTATTCAGACCCTTTGCTCAGTATTTAGTAGAAGCACCCTTTTGAGCTAATACAGCCATGAGTCTTTTTGGGAATGATGCAACAAGTTTTTCACACCTGCATTTGGGGATCCT